CAGGTGTATAGGCAGCTCGCCACCTGCTGCTGCTGCTGCTGCTGCTGCTGCTGCTGCGTCCGCCGAGGCAGCAGCAGCGGCGCTGGACTTGCAGTTTGCTGCTTCTCGTTTGAACAAATTGAATAAATTGAATTAATTTCAATTTAATCTAATTAAATTTGATTTAATTTCAATTTAATTTGCTTTTAAATCCAAAAAGATGGCGTTTGCTGCTCTTTGGATCGGCTCCCTCTGCTTCGCCGGCCTCGGGCTGCTGCTGTGTCTGCTGCTGCCGCTGCTGCTGATGAGGCCCCAAAACCTCAACACCCTCACCAAGGGAGAAATGCTCAAGTACGTGCTGCTGCTGCTGTTGCTGCTGTCTTTGTTTTACTTGCTGCTGCTTCTGTTATTGTTGCTGCTGCTGCTGCTGCGGGTGCTGCTGCTGATCACGCTGATGCTGCTGCTGATCATGCTGATGCTGCTGCTGACGCTGCTGCTGCTGCTGCGTCTGCTACTGCTGCTTGTGCCACATCGATACTGCTTTTTTACCCGTGTTGAGGCTTGCTGCTGCAGCTGCTGCTGTTGCTGCTGCTGCTGCTGCTGCTTGCCGGATTTCTGTATCTCGCCGTTGTTTGACAGAGTGCGATTACCTACTGCCTACATGTTATTCAATTAATTAATTAATCTTTTATTTATTTATTCAATATATTTATTATTTATTTATTTATTATTTATTTATTGTTTATTTATTAATTTATCTGCAGGCTGATCATATCTCTGGTCACGACCACCATCGTCTGCCTGTGGCTCTTGTAAGGATGCTGCTGCTGCTGTTGCTGCTGTTGCTGTTGCTGCTGCTGTTGTTGCTGCTGCTGCTGTTGCTGCTGCTACTGTCACTGCTTCTGATTCCGTCTGCAGCTGTCTTGTGCTGCTGTTCTGTCTCCATGCACTTTGCTGCTGCTGCCGTTGCATGCGTTTTACCGCTGCTGCTGTTGTAGCTGTTGCTGCAGCTGCTCACGTTTGCACTTTGCTGCTGCTGCTGCTGCTGCTGCTGTGTGCAGCTGGATTGTGGTGTACATGAGCCAAATGTATCCGCTGATTGCCCCGGAGAGAAGCTCACATCAATAGCGGCAGCAGCAGCAACAGCAGCAGCAGCAGCAGCAGCACTTAGCACAGCTAAGTCAGCATTTGCAGCAGCAACAGCAGCGGCTGCAGTCGCTGCATCAGTTCATGCAGCATTTGGTGCCGCTGCCTTTCAACTATAATGGTGTGGCAGCAGCAGCAGCAGCTACATCAGTAGCGCTGTTGCTGCTGCAGTAGCATGCTGCAATGCAGTTGCTGCTGCAGCTGCGTTGAAGACGCTGCTGCTGCTGCTGCTGCTGCAGCTGCAGCTGCGTGGTGGCATAAGTGGAGCGCCAGGAAGTCTCTACGGTGTCTCTACACCTCAGGGTTCGTGCCTACTCCCTCCGCTTGCAGCTTTGCTTCTGCTGCTGCAGCAGCAACAGCTGCAGCAGCAAAAGCT